AAAAGTTTATCGGCGCATTCCTGCCGAGCCTTTTTGGGCATATACTCCTGAGCAGAGAGGGTGAAGCTGTGAGTATAAATTTGGTGTTTGAATGTTGATGGAGGGATTGGCTGCTGAATCGGGTCGATTATTGATCTCTGCGCGTTTGGTCGCCGTTGGATAGGAGGAAGATGTGAGATTATCATGTACATAATTTATCTTGATTTCTAAATTAAAATCATGTTATTTGTGGATTATTATTAAGGGGATGTTGTTTTTGCTTCCGTGCTGATGGTTTGTTTAGTTCAACTCGGTTCTTATGCAGTTGTTCGAGTCAAAATTTTTCTGGTAAATTTACGTACTTAGGATACAACTCTTATATATTTACGAATCTTACGCATAGACTTTGAATGTTGAGCTTCAATAGTCCACTAATAAGACTATTTAAGAACCAGCTCAAAGAATAAAGGGACAATTTTACAACTTCTATAAATTTTAGAAATAATAATCGGTAAAAATTCTGGCACTTAATTTTTAATGTTTTTATGCATTTTTTAACATTTTTAGCAGAAGTGTCTTTGAATAAGCATATTCATTAGGTTCTCCTTTGTATATGTCTTCTTTAACAAAATTTTGTCGTTATCAATTAAGTCTCGAATAAAGTGGTACCTCATATCAATGTATTTGGTTCGAGCACGATGAAGTGGATTTGTGGCCAAGAATATTGCACTCTTGATCAACTCCCAAGTCATCCAATAGAATCTGCACCATATTACTTTCTTCATTGCCTCCGTAACTGTCATGTATTTTAGCCTTTGTAATAGACAAAACACAGTAGATTGAAGAATTGACTCCAACTTACTGAACCATATACTAATGTGAATAAATTGTTATTACTAGATCTTCGTCTATCCATATTACTTGCATAATTTGAGTCAATGTAGCATACATATAAATCTGTAATAGATGACTGTCTCTCAAACATCAAGCCACCATCAACTGTACCATTCAGATACTTCAGAATACTCTTCACAACTTTGTACATTATACACACATAAACATTGTACTTGGTATAGTGTTGTATCCACTCCTTCCAATTGTGGGGCAAATGTGAATCTTTGTAATTACACATTTATACTGGAATATTTTGTCTGGCTAGACCCCGTGAATTTTTCCTTTTCTAGTGTTTTTCACATAAAACTCTGGAAATCTCAAAATTTGTTTCACTGATAATATTTCATTCTTCAATAGAGAAAATGAAGTAGTTATAAATTCACAAAAAAAATTATATTGGGCTTATTTTTGAAGCGAAGTCAAGAGAGAATGATTAAAGCAATATTATATATATATATATCCAAACCGATTTATTGAACCGATACAATTCTTATATATACCACCCAAATATTTCTTATCACATTAAAAATGCCATCTTTATATCTCATGTAAGCACAATCAAAGCTACACTGTAACAATATTATTTAACTGCTTTATTCTGCGCATAGGAGAACACACTTATTCTGATATTATAAAGCGCCATTAATGTCTTCGGCCACCACCCATCTTTACACCCTGAAAATCATAAAGGCAAGCAAGCAGAGAGAAATTCTTAGTAGCATAATTTAATTCTTTAACCCCCATTCCTCTCTCAAAAAAGAGGCCGATTCTTTATTTATTTATGTATGTAAATCTTAAAAAAAAAAATTACTTACTGAACATAATCAATTTCAATCATGCCGGCATTTAAATCAGCTATAGCCGAGAAAGCTTCTTGAGAGAGATCAAAGATGCCCTGACAAGTAGGACAGTAATCAACAACTTGAACAACAACGTTCGCTCCTGTGCATGGTTGTGGAGCATCTTGACTGGTCGCACCTGTACACGTCACCCTATAAGTTCGTCCGCACGCTGCACCATTTTCATATATTGCGTCGCTCGCCGCAGCAATCATCGTACCCATATCATCATTCCCGTAACATGCTGATGCTACATATATAAATATACATACATAATATGCATAAATATAATTCATAATTATAATCTAAAACTATATGTAAATAAGGGGAAATAATTAGTTATAGAGGCCTAGAGCTCACGGGTGTAAGGCGCGGTGTAGTAAGTTGCAGCTCCATCAATGGCGGAAGTGAGAGCAAAGTGGCAAAGAACAATGGCGAGAGCAAGAACAAAGTGTTTCTCCATTAATTTTTTATTGCTTCTAAATTATAGCTATTTTTCTATAAACGATGGAATATAAACAGGGGGACAGTTGGGTCTCTTTTATAGGGGAGGATGGGATTGGTATGGTGAATTTTTAGAGGAAGAAATTCAAAACTTTTACTTGCAGTGTTTTGATTCTTTAGAAACTTTTTGGAAAATTACAATTTTGGACATTTACATACACACCACACAGTTCTTATACATTGACACCAGAGGAGTATAAATGTAAATGTCAAATTTCAAACTATTTATTATTATTATTCTGGGAAAAATAAGCCTAAAATGATAATGTATGTAATTTGAGAGATTGAAGCTGCAAACTATGGGTGGGCAAGTACACCTTCAACCACAATCTAAAAGGGGTGTAAAGGAGTCGAGTTGTGCTTGAGCCACACTTGGCTTCAGCTTGAGCTCGATTAATTTTATCAAGTTTGAGTGGGATTTCAAGCATAATTCTACGTGTTCGAGCCGGCTCACAAGCCTGCTTGTTTAGTATAAAAGAGAGAAAATAATGTTAATTTAAGATAGTTTTATAATGAAATGACAAATATAATAAGTAATTAGAATAACAATAATAATAAAAAAATCATTTAATATTAAATACAAACTATTATTAATTTTCAAACATTTTAAATAATTGATGAATAAAATCTTCAAATTTAATATATTTTGAACAGTTTTTATATTAGTTTGAGCTAGGCTTGATAAATGGTTTGTGAATTCAGCTCATATAGCTAACAAGCTAAGCCCGAGCTGGCTCACGAATTGGCTTGACTCACTTACACCCTTACTATCTAAAGGATAAGTGAGCAAAAATTTAAAATGTTATATATGTAAACAAATAAGAATTGCGACGTATTAATGCAAACTTTTCTAATTTAAAATATATTCCAATTTATGTCTGTCTATTGCTAGAGATGACGTGCAAATCGCTGTTGAAGACTGACTAGAAGCAAGTGGGGTGAAGGTGAAGTCCCCGAATGACCGACTAATCAAGGACTAGTGGTCTTCACATAACACGTGTATTGCCTCAATTGAAACATAGTGGGTCCTTCAAGCATAAGGACAACATTTGCATGTTTGTGGAAAAAACTTGGGGAAAAATTGAATATTCTTCGAATGTTTACTGCATTAAATGAAGGTAACGAGCTGCCTTCTATCGTGGGCAACTCCGGCCATATGTAGCCGTCCAAGGGTCACGCATAAAATAATTTTTTTTTTAAAAAAAATTATAATATTTTTTTCTTGGTATTTATGTAAATTTAGTCGTGAATATATGTATATTACACATAAAAGAATTTAAATCTAAAATTTCTTAGTTGAAGTCATTTAATAGATTAAGATGACTTGCTTCATTAGTATAAGCATTAGATTATTATTTTTTTTCCTTTTAGAATTTTGAACAATACATTTTTTATATGTGACATTATGAGTAAAATATATGAAACCTTTACAAGTATGTTGTTGAATCCTGTTATGTCCTGTGAATCACAAGTAAGATATAGACAGTGACACAAGAGTTTGGATAGAATCATTCAATAATCCTTTATTGTACATGGGGTTGTTAATAAAGCCCGTTGCTCGCGAACAACTTGTGTTCAACTTGTTAAGTAGCTCGTGTTTGACTCGTTTGTTAAGTAAACGAGTTCAACGCGAACAACTTATTGGCTCCAATTATAAACGAGCCATACATAAACAACTTTTTGTTTGCTCGTGTTTGGCTCGTTTTAGCATGAAATAAATAAAAAAACATATAATTATTTATATAATAATATATTATATTTATTCATATCTAATTTTAAATAGTAATTGCTCGTGTGATAATGTGGTTCAATGCTTTTTTTTTTTTGCATAGATTTTGTCTTGGTTCGATTCCAACACTCAATATCTATTTTTTCTAATTAATTTGAACGAGCCAATTTTGAGTCGAACACAAATAAAAATGTTTAAATTGAGTCGAACACAAACATAATGTTCATGAGTCAATTTCGAACACAAGCCAATTTCGAACTCAAGCAATTTCGAATGAGCCGAACACGACTGAAGCCTGAGGTTGCTCAAGCTCAGCTCGTTCACAACTCTAAATGTAAAAATGATCACTTATTTATAGATTTCGGGGGAACCTAGTGTAAAATTACAAATTTATCCCTATTTTAATAGAAACGTTACAATGTATTATAACTTTTTTTCGTCTTCTTAAATGACATTGACACACTTTCATATTCATAACTGATTTTAGCACTTCTTCGTATTCATAACTGCTTGAATAGGAGCATCTGATGACTCAAAAGCTTGGTCGTTCGGTTGGTTGGAAGTCATTGGTCTGTCGAAGGTTGTCAATCAACACTTTCAAGGGAGAATTCTGAGAAGTGATACTCCGTTCGTCAGGATGAACTGAGCCGTCAAATAGAGGGTGTATTAACATAATCTGATAGACAGCTTCCCTCGTACAAAGAGATTTCATAGAGTGTCAGAAAGACGTTCTATGGGGGGACACTTTGCCATTCTATGCAGAGTTCCAAAATCGGCTGAGGGATCTGGTCATGAATGATTATCCATCGAATTTGGCTCATATCTCTTCGTTCGATTCATCCGATTTGCTCAGAGTTCTTATTAAAGTAAACGTCATTTGATATTTTAGTCTTTTGATTTTCTCAAAATACAATCGACAGGACCCATTGGATCTTTTTGAAATTCGTGCAGACAATATTTTTGATGTACACATATATATACCACTGTATTCTTATGTAATATTTATCTAGCACCTAATGACCTAAACTTTCTCTTTCTCTTTCATATACAATATATGTCTCTCTCATTTACAATATATAAGACTACTTTAGACGCAGAAGACCGAGTCACGTGAAAACTATATAAATCTCTCTCATTTACAATAAGTTCTGTTTTTCCTACTATATTATTTCCTCTTAGTCATATTTTTTTATTTCATATGAGATACTCGGTCTTCCACATCTAAAGCGGTGTTCTCAAAAAAACAAGAGACTTATTTTCACTTAAAATCAGATGTGAGTAAAATAAGAACCGATATTGAAAATTTGTTTGTGAAGTATTAAGTTTGAACTTATTTAGCTTGATAGTCAAGATTTAAGTTATTTTAGTCATGGGGCTGTTTTTATCGCATAATTTATAAAAGTGCCAATAGTCCTCAATTTTTTTAAAGTTGAGCTCCAATAGTCCACTAATGAGACTATTTCAGAGCCAACTCCAAGAATATTGGGATTAATTTAGTACTTTTATGAACTCTGAAATTAAAACGACCTTATGTAATTAATCGAAAACTATTCTCGCATCTTACTCAATTTTTATTATAGATTTTGTAAGGATGATGTTAGAGTAAACTAACTTGAAAGTAAGGATTCACAAAGATTCTTTTATATATATATTATATTGAGAAAACTAGAGCGAAGAAAAACAGTAACGATATAAATTCAAAAGAACACATAAATTTAACGAGGTTCGACAAAGATGCTTAGGGCCTCTGGAGCAGAGCGACAAGTTTCTTTCACTATTCAGAAAGGAGATTACAAAATAGAGGATGCTTCATGGGGTTACTAACAAGCTTATTTATAACCACAGGAGTAAACCCTAAGCACAATATGTAATTACAACATTACCCCTGTACCATACCGCGGGGCTTTGCTAAATCCAAATCACCTGCATAGTCTGAATCAACATACCCACAACTGAAGGATCATTCTGCTAACTGCCAAAAATAATTCCATGTCTTACAGTACCTTTCAGATACCTGAAAATCCACTTGACTGCTTCCCAATGTCGCCTTCCAGGTTTAGTCTTGTATTTGCAGATTTCACTAACATCATGAGCCAAATCAGGACGAGTACATACCATTGCATACATCAAGCAGCCAACTGCACTGACATATGAAACATTTGTCATTTCTTCGATTTCTTTATCTGTCTTAGGACACTATTCTATAGAAAGCTTAAAATGATTTGCCAAAGAAGTGCTCACAGGCTTTGCTTTGCTCATCTCAAACCTTTACAACAAAATCTCAACATAGCATCGTTGAGAATCGTTGAGATAAGATAAACATAATCGTCTTGAGCCTCTGTCTCGATGAATGTCCATTCCAAGAATCTTCTTTGTAGGACCCAAGTCTTTCATGTCAAATTCCTGGCTCAATAAAGCTTTCAAACCACGGACATCATTCATACTCTTTGCAACAACCAATATATCATCAACATACAGTAACATAAAAATAATAGAACGATCATCAAGGCTCTTCACATAAACACAACAATCATACTCACATTGCTTGTAGCCAATCTGCATCATGTAGGAGTCAAACCGCTTGTACCATTGCCTTGGAGACTATTTCAACCCATACATCGATTTCTTTAACCTGCAAACCAGATGCTCATGTCCAGGTTGAGTGAACCCTTATGGCTGCTCCATGTAAATCTGCTCCTCCAGATCACCATGCAAGAAAACAGTTTTAACATCCATCTGCTTCAAATGCAAATTCCAAATAGCTACTAATGCAAGTACTGCCCTGATTGAAGTATGTCTGACCACAGGAGAAAAGATGTCATCATGATCTGTCCCCTTCTGTTGTGAAAATCCCTCTGCTACCAGTCGAGCCTTGAACTTTTTCCCTTCTCTTTTTGATACTGCTGGTTTCCTTTTGTAGACTCATTTGCACCCAATAGCCATGTTTCCCTCTGAAAGTTGAACTAGCTCCAATGTGCGATTTTTTTGCAAAGACTCCATCTCTTCAACCATTGCACCCATCCATTTTTCTTTCTCATGACTGGTGATAGCTCCTTGAAAAGTGGCTGAATCATCGCTGCTGATGAGAAGTGCACAAGAGACCAAGTCTTCATAACCCAATCTGCTAGGAGGTCTTACATTGGTGTGTCTCTGTCTATCTCTGGCTAGATTGTAATTCTGCAGATCATCTGGAATAGAATCACCAGGTGTTGGATTTGAACTTTCACTTCTCTCAGAAGTTACTGCCTGATGTTCTAAATCCATCTACACTGCAT